TTCTGGGAACAAATGATACATCATACTATTAATTATAATATTTGAGAAGAAAATTATTTTTTAAATTATTTATGATTTATAAAATATAAAAATCTTTAAAAATATACATTACCTGATTATTATCTGTATCGGCAAATTTAACAGGTTGATTTAAAACACATTTAATATGTTGTGCAAACGATAAAAACATTCCAAATAATTGTGCCTAATAATTTAAGAATTAACGTTATAAATCACTTAAATAAATATACAGTATTATCATAAACAAAATATTAAGATTCTTACAGATATTTGGATAGTTAAAGGATAGTTGGATGATACGTTCTGACTTTTCACATGACAAATATATACTTTATTGAATTCTATTATATCGGCCGGAATAACGGAATATATAATCATTATTTAATTGGTTACTTAAACAACTATAAAATCATAAACAATTAAATCTAATAAATAATAATTAAACGAATTATATTTTAAGCTAATTTCTAAAATAATTTCATAAATATGAAATAAATTTGTTTATAAACTAAAAAAAATTAATAATGTTTTTGTTTGTATATCATTGGGTGTTATTACATTTATTATTAAAGTACTATTAGATCATTTGATAAATGTCTGGCCAATGTTTTAGTATAGATAGAATTATACAATTTGTTCTATTATATGAGTTAACATTCTTAGGCACCAGAAATCAAGTTTCAGAAAGTTTGAAATATTTATCTTTTATATGAATTTTGAAAAGTATGTCAAAATTATTTTACAAATTTAAACCAAAATATTTGATTAAAAACTGTAATATTTATAAAGCAAAAATATAAAAGACAAGTTTGGAGTTACCGTATAATCCCATATATAAATGCATGCACTTCTAAGCGAATTCTACTAATTTGTTGTGTCATTAAAACTACCAAACTTAATTCTTAATATAAGTGCACCCTTTATGTAATACCAATTTATAAGTGCATCAAAATTTATGCACAACTAATTATTTACAAAATTTGTGGATAGACAAGAAAATACAAATATATTTCAAACATATAGACGCACATTTTATAATTCATTCTAATAATTTTCATTTCAAAGTATATTAAAATTTTAATTGTTACATAAGAAAACTGCACCCTATCAAAAGCACAGTATATTGGCCGCTACATTTTTTTGTACAACGACTAATTATATATTGTTTATGTAACTTTATGTAACTAAATTTCAAAATCTATCTACAATAAAAATTAGGTAGGCCAAGACTTTATCAAATTACCTAATATAATCACAAATTAAAACAGAAATAAATTAAATTTTCATTTAGTTATTTACTAACAGGGTGGATTAATCTCAATGAATATTATTTTATTAATTAATTGTTTACTATTGTATGGAGCGTTTGTCAAGTCTTACACAATAAAACATAAATAAATTTAATTAAATATTCATTTAATAATTTTCATGATAGATTAATATAAAGTAAGTTTAGATAACAATAAGTATTATATTACTAATTAGTTTTTTACATTGAGTGCAGGGTTTGGCAAGTTTGCAAACTATCGACCGACTGAAATCGATCGGTGAAATACTGTTGGGCACAAATTTTTTGCACTTTATTTTATTTACACATCACTCAAACATTTGTAACTAAAATTCTGACGATTCTCTAATAATCCCATAGATTAACGTGAGATTCTATAAACCACATTAATATATAAATTATGATTACATAGTACAATGTTTGTGTCCCAGTTATAAGCCACCGCTCGTTCCTAGGTTTAAAGTATACAAATTAACGATCGCTTGAGTGGCGGACCCGAAGAGAAAGTGTTTTAACATTTTTAATGATTTCTCAAAATAATAATACAGTCTGACCCCGGTTTTGACATATACGATTTTGACAGATCGCGATTTTAACACATGGTTTTGCTAGCACCACTGAGTCATATTAGTACTGTTAATGTACTCGATTTTAACAGAATGCGATTTTGACACATATTATTTACAGCACCGATGACATGTCAAAACCGGGGTCAGACTGTACATTTTAATAACTTTTACAAATTTTTAAATTATTGCAAGGATTAGACAGACATGCACATTTTAGTCACTTTTTATATAAGTTTACATAAACAAAAATTATTTACTGTAAACTAACTTATTAAATATTTTTATTTTAGACATTATTTATTTAAGAATTAACATTAACAACATTGTGTATATATTAATAATTTTAAATAAAATAACTTAACAAATTATTTGTAAGTAAAACAAATGATTTAACTAAAAAATTTTTGAATGAACTCTTGAAGAGAATTATAACTTTAAAACTATATAATGGTAATTAATGTCTTATCAATTGATAATTCCGGAAAATATAAGTGTAACTATCGTTTTATTATTCAAACTTTTACAGATTTGAATAATGTTACAACAGGGAAACGCAGAGCGGGCATAATTGGGCATTGGCGGGCATTGCTATAATGTATTGTCTATGGGAGCATAGTGTTGCCAGTCTAGCTTTTAAGCCTATTTGCGATTCACTGATGTTACAATGTAAGTTATAGTTAAGTATTAGTGTTTTTATTATCTATTTATTATAAAGATAATAATGATATAAAACAATAATACTTTATTGTGTTTGTAGTGATTGATTACAAAATTTAATGTAAAATTCAAAAACATTTAATTGTTGTCATATGTTTTACATAATAAAAGTTATTTTTAAGTGAAATGTAAGTGAAATAGTTTATTAAACATAAAATTGTGTTGTGTATTGTTGGGTGAAATTATATAATTTGTATATTTATATTGACCACTAGTTATACTCCTGTAATACCTGACAACTAGTCCACTGATTCTCTGTTATTAAATAATTATGATGTAAAACATCGGACAAATTATACAATTAATTTAGTTGACTTTTGAATCAAACCAATTGCAATAATTTTGACAAACACTAAAATAGATATAATAAATGCATAAATAATGGATATATTGTGTGAAATTAATTCAATTGAATATTATTATAAATGCAACGAAACATCCGATGATTAACAGCGGGAATGCATTTCAAAATATATCAACGATTGTAATGTCATTATATGTGTTATCATTGGTTGAAACCATTTCACTATCATTTTTCATATTTCGTATAAAATCCCATTTCCTTAAAATCTTTTCAATCATTTTATGATAATTCTGCAATCCACATTCTAAAGCGCGTTTAAACCTATTAAAAATTAGAGTAAAAATTACAGCTGAAGACGTTTTCCTTTACAAAACAACACATATACATACCAAATTGTTACCTTTAAAAAATACTTTCTAAAAATACTTTCTAATTAATGTTGATTGGCCACTGTATCAGTTCACACTGTTTGATTGGTATTAACCTTGGCGCATAATATGAATTTTAAAAGGTAACGGATGTATACATACAGAGCCCACAGGCTATATGTCCAATGGAATATCCATGTTATTTATACTTTTAAATAATGACCTACGTTTATTCCGAAAATACCAGGACAATTTTAACAAAAATTTTATAGCTGATAGTCATTACTTATATGTTAATTTTAATCCAGATTTATTTCAATTATATAACATTTTACTTAAAATTAAAGCATTTTACTAATATGTGGCTGGGTAACAAATTTGATCACAATGGAGTGATGTTGTACACCGAGAAGAAAAGCAACATGGTCAAGTGTAGTTTATTTGACAATGTATTGTCACCGTAATTGGTTTAAATATGAATGCATTTTTTATTAAAAAAATTTCACAATTAAAAAAATTATAATTCTGAATTTTGCAAAATGGCTAATTTTTGAAAGAATTATGTTGGAGTTCAAACTTATCAGGATTTTAATAAGATTAGTATATGATATTAATCTATAACATACGGCAAATAAATGCCAATGAAATTCAATCAATTCGTAATTCAAATGCCTGAGCAATTAAAGTTTGAAAATGGCAACTCTATCATTTTCATGGTTTAAATATGTTTGGCCAGAGCTTTCCGACGGGTAGTTAGGAGACCAATCACATTGGGATTAGATACAGTAGATATAAGTACATAAAAGCATATACCATATAGATTTAAAAGATTATTTGTTTTCATTTTAAATTCAATTAAATCAAAATATAACCTACGTTGGACAAATAGACTGATACTATTTAGCTCTGTATACTATTTATATTTTAAGTTAATATCTCAATTATTTTCATTAATATGAAATTCAACGATGCTATAAACCACATTATTCATACTGAATTGTGGTTAAAAATTCCATAACTTTAGTTTTTACCTATTAACAAGTTAATGCGATATAATTCGCTATTAGTTATCCGATAATTGTTTAAAGCAGTTATCACAATATAGTAACTATAATAATCAATTTCAAACAACGCCACCAATCGAGTTGACTACCGATAATTATATGGCCACAGTTAGGGTACCGGTTTATGTCGGCCATCGAAAAGCATATAATTATACTAATAATTAATATAGATTTCAGAAGAGTGAAGGAATCTTGTTGATGAATTGTTAGATAAGAAAGCTGGCACATCCATAAGCACATAATTTTGTTATTACATTCATTATATTCAGGGATTCTCATGTTGAAATGTAATAGTAAATAGTCAACACTGTATGAGTTATAAATATAGCGATATATAGACAGATTCATATTTGAAAGCATTAGTCATGCTATAACTCACGTATAACCTCACTATACACAAGTGGCCCATAATTAGCCCCTGCGCGTTTTAGTGATTATATTATTACAATGACTAATCATTCATTTTTTATGAAACTTGGTTTCTGGTATCGTAAACTTTAAACATTAAATTATTAAATATGACTCATAATTTTATCTATCTATCTTTACGATAAAAATAAGGCAGGCCAAGTCTTTATCAAATTACCTAATTTGTCAACAGTGTACAACATATTAAAACACAAATTAAATATACATGTAGTTATTTACATACAAGGTGGATTAATAAAAATGAGTATTATGTTATTAATTAATTGTTTATTTTCAGATGGTGCGTTTTTCAATTTGTAAACCTTAAGTTTAAATAAATACAACATTGATTGCATTGACAACTATTTCTTGTGTATTATTTTTATGACTATATTTTGTACTTTGATTTCCAATAATTGTTAAACATTTACAAGAATTTATATTTTATCATTTAATAAAATCAATAACTTGAATATTGATTTGAATTTTGTTATACTGTATTACAATATCAAACTGAATGCTAATAATAATACTGAAATTGTTTGTACAATTTGTGGCGGAACCTAAACTTTTGGTATGTATTTTGTGAAAAAACTCAATGTTTATAATTAATTTATGTAATATTTACCCCGTATTTAAGCCGACATTTCACAGAAATTATTTGCGATTTGTGTAAAACATTTTTCAGGAGAAATGCATTCAAAGAAAATGTTTGTTATAAATAAAAATAATTAAATATAATTATAAATTATTATTTATAATTGATTTATTTAAATAGCAATTAAAATGCGGTTTTGAACACAACTGTAATATCACTCTCAATACAAGAAAGTATTGCCAGAAATGTAGACTTAATAAGTGTTTTGCGGTCGGAATGAGAAAAGTAATCATCATTTTATTCCTGAATTGAATTAATTATTAAAAATACTTATATTTTTATTAATTTTAGGAAATAATGAATTCAGACAAAGAAAATAAGAAAAGACGACAATTGATTGCAGAAAATAAGCAAAAATCTAAACAAAATATTCAAACAAATTCTGTACACAATATACCGGAGTTGGACTCAAACGACACCGAAATCTCTGACCAAACCGTTGGCCAAGAAGTCGATGATCTCATTGACAGTACATTCTATATAACGGATAACGCATTGAATAAACAGTTACTGGAAATTGAAAACACATTAAACAATTATTTTACTAATGAATAGACAAATGATGATAACTTAATAGAAAACTCAATGCCATTACCATTGGTTCCCGTATTCAAAGAGTTGACAGATTATAACGGTTCGAATCAATTGGAGACAAACCGTATGCAAGAGTTGTTGAATGCATCCAATATTATAAACTATCCGATCGCTGATAATGTAATAGTGGTTCAAAATAAAGACCATTTGATCCGAATGGCAGCCCCGGCCACCGAAGCACACGTTCAAAACTTTATATCATTTATTAAATTTATAAATGGTTTCAAAAATATTTGCAAAAGTGATCAGTATTTGCTTATGAAGAGCCAATTCTTGGACATTACTTTTTTTGCGGACTTTACTGTATTTTAATACTAAAACGGAAACTTATGTTTTTCCTTTTGTATGACATTTCACATTTTCACCCATTCTCTCTCTCTCTCTCTCTCTCTCTCTCTCTCTCTCGACAATAATATTTATTGTTTTATACTTATTAGGACCTACAATATTGCATGTGCTTTAAATTGGATGATATTTTCAAAGACCATGCAAGATTATATTGTTGTGTGGTGAGCCCTTACCTGGGCTCCACCTTCACAAAACTTTGTCGTGAGGCGAGGTCTTACCGGACCTCATGGCTCACAACTGCTCACTTCGATCTTTTTGGTTACAATTGTTTATCAAATATGTTAGTAAAGGTTATGGGCGATTGCCCGAATTGTTTTATTTGTTAGTTAACATATAAGAACTTGTGTTTTAACAATTGTGTAATGAAGGTTCAGAGTTTATATTGTTTACAATGTAGTTCCCGAGCGGTGGAACCATTGTATAAATCAGTTTCATCATTCACTATACGGATTATCTATATGGAGTGCCCAAGCGGCGGGCGTATACGTCAGATTTAATGCGCCGTGTAAAGTTAAGCTCTTCACATGTATAACTAACGCGGACATTAACGGGTGTGTGAGGGGCTATAGTCTTCACACATCTTAATTCTCTATTAGTCTTCCCGAGAATGGAAGTGATTCGTCAGTGCCTACGCTATGTGCGAAGTCTAACTCCACACATGTATACATAAGGGGACTAACATGAGTGTGTGAGGGTTTAGTGTCCTCACACGTATAAGTTCTCTATTTGTGTTTCCAATAGTGGGAGTAATACATCAGAGCCTACGCGATGTGCGGAGTCTAACTCCACACATGTATACATAAAATACTAACATGGCGGTGTAAGGGTTGAGAGTCCTCACACGTGATACTACTCTATTGGTGTTCCCAAAAGAGGGAGTTTTACGTCAGAGCATACGCTATGTGTGAAGTCTCACTACACACATTTATACATAAGAGCTAACATTTGAGTGTGCGCAGTGAGTGTGCACACACGTGTGACTACTCTATGGGCGTTTCCGAGAGAGGGAGTCTTACGTCAGAGTCCAACTCCACACATGTATACATAAGGGACTAACATGGGAGTGTGTGGAGTGAGAGTCCATACACGTGATATTACTCTAAAAACTGTCCCGAGAGTGGGAGTATTGGTATTCTTTAATTAATACTGGGTTAATACTGATAGTTAAATACATAGATGGCGTTAACTTTACGCCATTACATTATCATTACCAATTAAAGGAATTAACTATAGGTTAATTAATTGTATTAATTAAAATTGTATTAAATAATATAATTAATTATAGGTTAATTAAAGGAATAATGCACTTACTAATTGTGTCTATGCGATCCGGTTATCACGTCTATGCTGTTCGGGTATTACGTCTATGTGGTTCGGGTAAAACGTCAATGCGATCCGGGTATTACGTCAATGCGATTCGGGTATCACGTCTATGCTGTCCGAGTATTACGTCTAGTCCGATCGGTTACGACCCGTCCAAGATGTCTGTCAGACCACTTATAGCACACTTATAATAAGCATTTCATTGAATAAGTGAAAACACTTTTTACTTTAAAGTAAACTTTTAATGCGTTAAAAACTTATTGAAATTTACATTATTTTTGATGTGATTTATATACTAATTGTAAAATAATTTGGGTGTTAACAAAAAAGCATTATAATACATATCTTGCAAAACTATAGATTTTGACATGCGTTTATTTAATCCGTTTCATTAGCTTTATTACTGATCGAATATCATTGATCTTTTTATCAAATTAAACCTAACATGATACTGTTTCCAACAATATATAACTTGATATAAATACTAATTAATTAATTGGTTAATTCTAGTAAATAAATTTACCTAATTGTAAATATAGATCAAATTGTATTCA